GCGTCGATCCGGGGTCAACGACATGGGTCACAAGGCCTCCTGCATCAGGGAGCGGACCAATGTGATATGATGCATCCCTCAAGGGGCCTACAGATCAGCCAGGGCACGCCGCCCCGTGTCGCCAGAAGAACGCCGGAAAACGCACCGCGGTGGGACAGAATGGCCCTTTAGCTTTAGACCGAGAGCAACAATGTGTCCCGTAGCGTTGTACTCAAGGGACCCCTTTACTGGCAATAAAACTTTAAAGGAAAGGGTCTCTAGTGCTCAATGGAGTTGGTCGAAACGAGTTCAAAACGCACAAGGCCATCCCATGTTTCCCAGAGAACGTTCATTATTTGTAGAATCGACTAATGAAACAAACACCATCGAAATGTTTGAAGCTGAGCGCCGGGTGCCGATAGTGTGGCAGTTCACGCGCCTGCGTTAACCACTGCGTGTCCGAGAAACCACAGGAACCCCAATGACACGGCCGTAATCTCGGAGAGCAAGGAAAGCGAAGACTTGGGTCGCAGTTTTCGTAAAACCGAACGGCGTTGGCCACTGCATGTAATGCCAGGGGGTGAGCGCCGAGTGCTCAACAATGACCATAGTAAAGTCATGTTTCTGCATGCCTTTCAAACTTAACTTAGCAACACTACAAATACAAATTTCGTCATGCTGTAAAGACCGAAACGCTTTTGTCACGAACCTAAAAGCCGCACAGGTGAAATATACGTCCGTTACAGGGGCGGATCTAGCCTGGAGTTTTTTTTTGGGGGGGGGGGGGCAACCGTTCGTCGCCAGCTGGCTGATGTGGGATCCGAGGGCCAGTGCACGGTGCCTCTCGCGAGTACCTAGTAGGGGCACCATTCAAGCACCGAAATGCGTTTGAATCTGCTATTTGCAGCGTGCATGTTTACGAAGCTCATAACCCTCATTTTGAGGTATTATTTTGTTATTATGTATTTTCTATTATGTAGCCTATTATTTTGAGGTACATCTTTTCACGTAAGCAGACGAAACTTTTATGAAGTTCTGGGAATGCTTTTTTGGGGGGGCCAAACCATACTCTCAGAGTTTTGGGGGGCCATGGCTCCGTGCCCCCCCCCCCCCGGATCCGCCTATGGTCCGGAATGCTTCTAAATGTACGATTTGGTGCCCAAAAGCATTCAAAGGTGCTTCTTTCAGATGCGCCACCATTTCCGTGCACCTGTTGGCCACGGCATAGTGTAAGCCGCAAGGCCACCGCTGTGTGGCCTATGGAGACTGCAACGCCTGGCGTCGAGGTTTTTTATTTCCAAGGTGTGCGAACGTGCACGTTCAAAACTACGTTACATACATAGTTCCACTGATCAATTTTGGCTGTTAAAGGCATCCGGACAAATATGGCTTGGCCATGTAAATACAAGTTGCTGACCGATTTTGATTTTCAATCTACATTCGCGGAATCACTGCTATTTCTGCACAACCCAGATACAAACTTTGACAAAGTTTGTGAGCTCTATCGGTTTAAATAATCCTCTGCACCATTGTAAAAGGAAAAGCGTCGGCGAATTACCTCAGACAGTCAGTCATCGCGTGATTTTCTCAGTTAAGTTACCATAAATTTAAGGCAGAAGTGAACTCGCAGTAGCGCCTGGCCTATATTCCAGTTTTCGGTGAAAACGGGCTGTGCATGTCATCACAGGAAAAATCTCTATAGCAATCGGGCATACCCGGCGATTTTTGGGGATTCCTTTATTAACTGGGGCTCTTTGTCAATCCTGTGCATCTCTTGCCAAGACCCTGGCTGCGCTCCCGCGTCATTATATACGTCAGCTATGCCGAAAACAAGCGAGGACGTGGCAGATGATCCTAGGTCGACGTACGTACTTCCTTGCTCTCACCAAACTCCAATTCCGAAGCCAAAACGTCCATAAAGACCGGCACGTGTCTACTATAAACATATATTTCAGACAGAAGCATAAAATGCGATATATCAATACAGGGGGCGACATTGCCTCCCGGGCAACCGGCATATATAGCACTAAACATACCTGCGCCAGGATGCCGCCCACCGGCGGTGCTGCGCATCTAGTGCCACCAGAAGACCGGCCCTGTGACGGCCGGCAGCCTCGGCGCACAGCACGCGCTCAAGCGTGTCGAGCTGTACATCGCTGCCCTGTTGCTCTCAAGAGCCTCGCGGTAACGCACACCAACCTGAGACCTCAGAATATCGGACCGCGCCGGCGCACGCCTCCCCGCCCACACGTTCTACCACAACACATCCATCATATTCACCGCTGGCCCAGCGCATACGGCTCCTCCAGCGCGTGCAGCTGGCGGGCCATCCAGTCACGAGGTCCAAACAAAAGGTTAACTAGTTCACAGCTCTGGGCGCGCTGACAGAAACGGTAAAATCGGCCCTCCGCCGCCGCCGCAGCTAGCCGGCGACGCGGTGTTCGCCACTGAAAGACTGACAACGGCAACGGAACGCAGGTCCGCGCGGCGGCACGGGCGAGACTGACGGCAGCGGCACCGACGCCGCTCCATGCACACGATCGGGGTGCGTGCGTGTGTGTGGGTAGGGGGGGGGGGTGTCCGCGTTCATGCACTTCTCTCGTGCGTCCCCACCGGCAGCGGCTCGCGCTCAGCAGCTGGGGGCCGCCGCCTCCGCATGGGGATCAGCAGCCGTCCACAGGCGTCAGGCGTCCTCCTCAGCCGGCCCGTCAGCACACGCACGAACAGACCCTCCGACGACCAGCGCGAGGGTGGCGCTACGTGAACCTAACTCAAGCGGTGACTGGGAAGCCCTGAACTGCGACGCCGCCATGCAATCCAATCGTGGCGCCGCGCCCGCCCCTCTGACGGCTCAGAACATCTCTCGATGCTTTGAGCGACGGCCCCCCCCGATACATACAGGGCGAAACCTGCAACCGGGTCGCACTTTTGTCACACAATGAACCAAACAGCACCTACTGATTATGCTATGCAGGGCATGACCAGGCAGCGGTACCAGGCAGCACCACCAAGCAGCACTACCTGGCAGCATGACCAGGCAGCAGTGCCAGGCAGCACAACCAGGCAGCACTATCAGGCAGCACTACCATGCAGCACTACCACACAGCACTACCAGGCAGCACCACCAGGCAGCAATACCAGGCAGCACTATCAGGCAGTACAACCAGGCAGCACTACCAGGTGGCACCACCAGGCAGCATGACCAGGCAGCATTACCAGGCAGCAGTGCCAGGCAGCATTACCAGGCAGCACTGCCAGGTGGCACTACCAAGCAGCAGTGCCAGGCAGCACTACCAGGCACCACCACCAGGCAGCAGTGCCAGGCAGCATTACCAGGCAGCATGACCAGGCAGCACCACCAGGCAGCACTAGCAGGCAGCACTACCAGGCACCAGCACCAGGCAGCACTACCAGGCACCACTACCAGGCAGCGACTCCAACCAAATGGTCAGCTGGTGAAAATATACATTAGACAATATGACAAGCAAGCCTGAATGACACACCATGGCAAGTCCAGGCCACCCGACAAGACCCGCCAGTGACCGAACCATCCTCGACGGCCACACCAGCCTCAGTTCAAGGTTCCCACCGCGCTGTCCTCGACGGCCACACCTGCCTCACTCAAGGTCACGTTCCAGGCCGAGTTGGCACGCGGGCGTCTATTCATTGGACACCGCCCTGCTGCGGCACTAAGCAGGGGTCTGGCAGCTCTTGGCCATCCCAGCGCAGGGGCGTTGCCTCCTGCACTGTCCTGAGGTGGTGTCAGCCAAGTGGGTGAAGTCATGTCAGGTCAGAATAGTGGCTCGCCTCTGTACAGGGGTTCAAGCATCAGGTCATGTCAGGTCAGCGAAACGAGGTCAAAGGCCAGCAACATACATCGTCTCTGCGCGGAGCACACATCAGGTAAACAGGGCCAGCCACCTCTGTCCAGAGGTTACACGAGGTCACATCAGGGCAGCAGGGCAGGCCATCTGCCTGAAGGTCACACCAGGTCACACTACGTCAGCAGGGTAGGCCGCCTGTGCGGAGGTCACGCCAGGTCAGCAGGGTGCGTCGCCCCTCTCCGGAGGTCGGAGGTCACAGCGGGCGACGTCCGGTCAGCAGGGGGAGCCGCCGGCGGCGCCGGCCGGCCCCGACGCGTCGTCCTCCTGGTCGGAGCCGGTGTCAGCCTCCATGGTGGCCGCGATGGTCCGCAGGCTCCGCACGCCCGACATCAGCTGACTGCCGACCAGGGCCGGCGCGTCAGCGCCGCCGCACCGCCCAGCTCGCCCACCCCACGCATCGCCGTGGCTCGCCCGCCCGGAGGGCGCGGCCACCGCTGCTGCAGCAGGCATGATGCCAAACACAAACCTTGATCGTGAGAGGCTCGTAGGAGTTACAGTGCAGGGCGCGGCGCTGCTGGTTGGGAACTGGGTGGGATGGCACAATATCACATGCTTGATATTTGACTAAGGGAACAATGCCTCCATGCCGGACGTCTCTACCAAGTACAAATTCATTGCTAAGGACAACACCAGTGTGACCACTGACCACAGGCCAGCCAAGTACACAGGTATTCATGAACATCTTTGCATTCTCCTTCATACATCCCTACCATCACCATAGCGGTCCTCAACTACCATCCGTCTTAAGCTTTCAACCCACCCCATCTGTCAACGACCCCTGCTGCTAACTGTTGGCTGCCTGCCAGTCATCGCCAGTCACAAATTATTTGTTCCCGACTATCAACAAATTCAACAACCCCCGGCGGCCTCGACAACCTCCGACCATCATCGGTCATCTGCCGCTATTCGTCGCCACTTTGAGCCGCCGCCGGTCATCGCGCGTAGCTCGCCACCCAGCTGAGCCGTACCTGATGAGCTGCTCGGCGCCGGTGGCGGCGGCCACAATCTGCCCTGCCACCTGGCGGGAGGAGGCGGTGGCGCCACCGTGGCGGCGCAGCGCGGCGTTCTCGCGGCGCAGCGCGCGCACCTCCTCCTGCAGGCGGCCGGCGTCGGCCGACGCGCCTGTAGTCACACCCGGCCGTAGCTGCTGCTGCTGCTGCAGGCTGCTCGACCTGTCCGACGGCCGGGGGGAGGGGGGGAGGGGTCAGAGGAGAGACGCGAACGGACGATAGTGCTGCCGACGGGCCCGCAACGCTCAGAGGACGCTGGAACGCAGGCCGCCGGTGCTCCAGACGGACAAGTCCGTCAGCGACGCACGGAATGTGTTTGGCGAGCATGGTACATGGTTCAGGATGCAGGTGTTGACATTATGACCCTCGGGACGGCGTCGCTGGTCAATAGATATCACCCTTAACTTCCAAGGCCAAATGTTCGACAAGGAATACAGAAATCAGACACGTTTGGTCTGCCGATCATTAATGCATGGACAAACCTTCTTCTCTCATACTGCAGCTGCTGTTGCAGGCGGTCGATGTCTCTCCGCAGGCAAGCGTTCTCCCGCTCCAGCTGTGGCACAAACGCGTTGTCAGGCATGCTACTTCGCTGAACACAGCTGGTCCAGCAGCTGACGAAACCTGGCACGAGCGCCCTTCGTACACAGCAGACATTCCAGCATGCCGAACAGCGATAAGCAAATTTCAAACATAAACACGTCTCTTGCCCGACCACTGAACAGACAAACATCGCCAGGGGCACGAGAGGGCGCCGTGCTGGCCGGTAGCCGACACCGCCCCGACTGACCCGCTGCAGCCGCTGCGGGCTGGTCGGCTCGTGCGGCCGCGACGGCCCATGCGGCGGCGCGCCGTTGGTCTCGCCGTCGCCGTGCAGCGTGCCCATCGGCCCGTCCGACAGGAAGTCCGGCAGGCCCTGCGGCTGGGCAGCGCCGAGCGGCGGCGCGGCGGCGCCGGCCGCGCACGACAGCGATGTCGGCACCTGCGGAGGCGGCGGGTCATGTCAGGGGTCGGGCGCTGGCCGGCCGGCGCTTGCTGCGGCGGCGGGTCATGTCAGGGGACAGGCACCAGCCGGTTGGCACCTGCAGAGGTGGCAGGTCATGCCAGGGGTCGGGCGCCGGCCGGCTGCCCCTGCAGAGATGGCAGGTCATGTCAGAGGTCGGGCGCCGACCGGCCAGCAACAGTCGCATACACCCGACCGAACGACCCACTGATAGCAGGCATTAACACATTAAAGCCATTGAAGAACAGATGGTGTTGCACCTACTTACAACCTGACAGACTTCTGCATTATGGTAGTGGAAGGTTTGTGCTCCCACCAACTAAGGCTAGTGAGCGGGAGTGGGCAAGCGACCGAGAAAATTACGCATGTCTGCCAGCGGCTTGCCCTTAACAAACAACACTGTTCTGTAGCATTGACCCCATGCTCGGACCGGTGCTGGCGTAAAGCCGCCCCCTGGCCGCGCCTGGGGTCTGTGGTCGCACCTTGCGCCGCGTGCCGGTAGCGGCGGCGGGCGGCTGCCGCTCGGGGGGCCGCTGGCGCTCGCGGCCGTCGAGCGAGGCCGCCGCCGACGCCAGGTGGTCCTGTACGAAGTCGGGCAGGCCGGCGGCCACGTCCGGTCTGCCCTGGCCCCACGTGCCAGGCGGGCCGCCGCCGCCGCCGCCGCCGACCGGCTCCAGGAACCGGCGGAACGAGAGCGGCGCCTCGCCGCCGCCGATGGCGCCGGCCGACTTGGGGGTTGCGCCACCATCACCTGCTGGGTGGAGAAAGGTGTGGTGTGTTGAACCAGGTGCCAGTGGTGAGTTGGGTGAAAGCTGTTTGTTTTTGATGTTGGTAAAAATGAGTAGGGGAAGAAGCCCCATAGCATTGCTGAGTGAGAGGGAATACAGAAATTTTCAGAAGTATTACAGTCAGCAGTCAGGATCTATGACAATATAGTTCACTAAGAGCCTGTACAGTGGCCCAAGCTGCAGAGAACAAAGTTATCCACATCTGAAGATGCTATATGTTTTTAAAGGCAAGTTTTACTGTTTAAATCACTATAGAGTACACAAACTTCTATCCAAAACATGTTTTCCATAAGCTTTAAGTGATGAAGAACAACAGCTTTGAAAATGAATGAGGGCATTTGAGTGTGCATGATATGAAATGCTCTTTTTTAACACATAATCAATAACCAGGTGGATTAAGTTGAGCCATGCACCAGCCATATTTACTGCCAATGACATAGCCTGTATATTAATTGAATGAACAACCATACCTGCCTGACCATGGTTCACAGTTTCATCATTGGGCAACCCTAAATCAGGAACAAATGGGGACTGCTCATTGTGCTTGTCTCCTTCCTGATGATCATCTCCATTTTCCATTTCTGAAATAAGGTCACAGATATTCTCACAACATGATCAGTTGCCATACATGTGGGTGTGATGTACATAATCTGCAGGACTTTTGTATTCAATGTGCATCATTTATAAATTTCTGAATTTGTTGCTGGCAGCACCATATGAAAAGAAAAAGATCACCCTTACCTCTCTTTCATGTCAGAGAACATATCATTGTAGAAAAAATATATATAATAAAAAAGATTTGCATTGAAAAATCATATAAACTAGCATCTATCACTGCAACTGGGATTTCAGTGGAACATTAAGTCTCAAGTAAATCTGTGGCCCACTTTGCTTAAAACACAAAACAATTATAGCCTTGAGATCAAGACATTTGTCATGCTTATTCAGGCTTTTCACACTTATTGGAAGAGCATGGATGCAGTCCAAGACATGCAACCATGTACAAGGTGAACCACAGAAGACATCATTATCAACTAGGTGATGTAATACAAATGAACAAAGATAAAATATGCAGCAAGGAGCATAAAGTGGAGTCATCTCACACATGTTCAAGGTAAAGGAGCCATCAGGCCCCATCTGTCTACCTGTAATTGCAGACTCGGGTAGTAAATGTCAGTTCCCCGCGTGTCCCTCGAGTGCAACGGGGACTTCGTAATATTGTACCAATGCAAATATAATGTTCCTCAAAAAGCTGCAAAGATTTGTAAGTACTAATTAACTGAGTCCAACACCAGCCTAAGCCATATAAAATGAGCACGACTGACGAACCCGACACAACTGACTGAGAGCTGGCGACTTTGTTGACACCCAGCAGATCAACACGCATAACCATAGCAGGCATCAAGGCGTATCTGCGTATTTGACGCATGGATGCGCCGTGATGCAGAGCTTGCTTGTACCCGTCAGCTGTCTGTATTACATGACGTCAGCGGAGCCATCACCGACAAAACATTTCGAATTTTACGATGCATTTTGCACCTCTACTTATTAGAGAAGGAAGGCACAATTTAATACACAATTGTAGAACTTTTCACCTTCACGTTAAATTGGTAAAGCGCGCCTATTTGATTTTGGTAAAAGTTCATTTTTTTGAAGGGAGAGGAATGGTAGCTAATTGAGGCCTTCAAATAGCAGCGGTATCTAGTGATACAGACAAGATAAGGATTGAGAGACTCGCTTGCAATATGTAACACTTATTTTCGCATTTTGTCAGCAGTCAACTACGGTGAAAAATTAAAAATGCGGGCCTGAAGTTCCCCCCCCCCCTTCCTTGCTGCGCTTGTGGTTGGAGTCCATCTAAGCACCCCGCATTGGTTGAGGGGCTGGCTGTTTCGGGACCTGTCACCCCATCAGTGTCCCTAATCCAGGTCATATTGAGGCAGTCCAACATTATTGGTCCCTTGCATCGCTCTCGCGAAAGCCCACCTAACCTTTTGACTCAGAAATGTGTGCCCATTCGCGACACATTAAGCGTTATTTTGACGATCAGCATACATGATCTGAGCGCGGCTGGCGCTAGGGGTGCAGTGTGAGGACGTCTTGCACATGAGCTGATGAGTAGATCTGCGTTTAGGATATGCAGATAGGATTCACAGATATGCCATGTAGCAACTCCCGCCTTCCTATCTGTTTATCTGCAGACAAAATAGCACGAGTAGGTGCTGATCACCAGCCATACAACTGAACTTTACTTATAATGCTGCTCATGTTTCTCCCCCAGAACCGCCAACATGCGTATCTGTGTGCAACATCGCCATCCCTTGATCCACGGTGAACTCGGTGCAACTAAGCTCAATGTGCAACTGACAGTTGGAGTGTCATCCTGTCACGTCACACAATAACTGCCTTTAATAGCACCACTCCTGCTTGTTTGTTCCCAAGTGCCACCTCCACCAGAGGTGTAACCATTCTACCGTCACAGGCGTCAAACACCAACCTTGCTGTGTTTATTTGCAGATATACAAAACTACAGTGGAACTCGCATGACCACTCAAAGTAAGGGAAACATGTCCGGCAGGCAGCCTGGCATATATACGTCTCAAAACCACATAAAACTGATTAGGTGATCGCAGTGCCCCGTCTCTGCCAACCTCACACAACCATGCAGCCTCGCAGACAAAACAGCCGATTTGAGGTTCACAGCTCTGCAGTGTGCGACTGGCAGAATGCCAGCACGCGCCGGCGAGTGCCGGTCGCGACCCCCTGCCCCCCTCCCTCACCCACGCACTACCGGCGTCTCTGGTACGGGCGCCGTCGACCCGACCTGCGCGTCACCCGTCTGTCTTTGAGCCGCTGGCCGGTGCTGCCACCCCGCGGCGCGGCGCGGCACTACTCGGGCCCGGCGCCGGTCGGCTGAGGGGGCGGCGGCCGCCGCGCCGCCGCCGCCGCCACCTTCTGACCCTGCGCTACGCACGAGCGAGCCACGCTGTCAAACAGCTTTTCGATCTCGGGCGCGCAGTGCACGAACTCGTGCTTCCAGAACTTGAACGCTGGGTTCTTGATGAGTTCGATGAAGGTGATGAGCAGGCCCCACGGGTGCGGCCGGTTGACGATCAGCCGCTCGAGCAGAACCCTGCCGCACGGGGGGGGGGGGGGGTCAGCTTACATCGCCCGGCCTTCTCGTCACGCCCACAGCCCGGAGAGTGCCACTGAAGGCATCCACTAGATCAGCAGGAGGGAACCGAACACGGCCATCCACTGCATCCCATTACGCCCATCATTCATCACTTTGTCACTGCATCCAAACCCAGCCGCTGCACATTGCATTGCGTCGGAAGAGCGGTAATGACGAATCCGAACGACGGCTGCAGCCTGCTCGCCACGTACCTGGTGATCTGTTCCTGGATGGCCGCCGTGTTCGCCTCCGCGAACAAATACAGCAGCAGGTTGAGGAAGTAGTTGGTGTGACTGTTCGGGTACCGCAGTTGGTTGGCAATGGCGTTCAAGAACAGGTACCGGCCTGCGGGCGCACAATCCGACCATGCTCAACGTTACGAAACTCGACGTTCAACAAAACGCCACGCTCAACGTCGCGAACACCTCAACAGATTCAAGTCCCAGGTATGTTGGTAGGTTTTCCACATGGCTGTCAAAACCCTTCATTGGCATCATCTCCTCTGCTCCAGCACCCAGCTCTGCATGACACCACCTCGACGTCCACGTCCTCGGCGAGACCCCGACACCCGCTCCTCCAGCACCCCGCTCTGCATGACGCCACCTCGACGTCCACGTCCCCGGCGAGACCGCGACACCCGTTCAAGGTTCACCCCTGCGCCGGCCCTGAGCCTACCCTCAGTAGTCCAGGTCGACAGCCAGGTTCTGGAAGATATCCATGTGCGAGCTGTGCGCGATTGTTTGCTTGCTCGGCTGCAGCCCCTTGCTCTGGATGGCGGCGATCGCCTGCGTGCCCACGTACAGCACCAGCGCGTTGATCAGCTGTACGTTGTACCGGCTGCCGGGCTGGGCGCCCGTCTGCAGCGTCGAGCGCAGGTCCGTGACGAACGTCACCGGCGTGCGCGCCTTCAGGTACGTGTCCAGCTCCTGCGCCGCCGACGGGGAGTCGGTTAGCTGGGCGAGCTCACGGCCGCAGGCCCGGCGCGCTCACGGCCGCAGACCAGGACGGCGCGCCGGACAGGGTGGCGCGAGCGGCGGCACGCGTAGTCAACTGTCCTGCCCTAGCGACTGACTGGATGTGGATGAGAAGTTAAGTCCATATCTCAATATTAATGACCAAGTCATGCAAAACTGGCATTGACAGTATGCCGGTTGACGAGGTGCCGGTGGCAATAGCGTACCCACGTTCCTTCGTTAGATAGAAATATAATGTTACTAGCGAAACTACTCGTTGGACAAAGCTCGGGGACATGAGTCAAAGTCGCGTCCGTATACAGCCCGCGTCGCGGCACCGGGTGTCCGCAATGACGTATACAAAACTGGCCATTGTGCACTTTTACTCGTGCACTGATTGAACTGAAAGTCCTTTGAAACAGACTTCAATGAGTGCCAGCATCTAGGTCAGTAACTTAGAGGAATTTAGAGAATTTAAAGCACAAATAGTCGCCAAAAACTATCCTATTCAAATAGACAACCTGCCGCCATTTAACAGAACTTAACGACAACTCTGTCACTTTAAACTTCCTCTCGCCAGAAGCGGCCCTCGGGCAAACCCGGCAGCCGAGCGGCAGCCGGTCGTCGCTCACATTTTTGAAGCTGGGCGGCTGGATGAGCGAGGCGAAGTTGGTCTGGATCATGGGCGCCTCGCGGATCTCGGGGATCATGTCCACCTGCAGCTTGCTGGTGAACGGGTCCGGCGGCGGCATGTTCCGTGGGAAGGCCGACAGCACCAGGTTGCGCATCTGCGGCAGCGGCCGACGCCAGTCAGCACCTCATGCGAGGACTCGGGTGAAGACGTGGGCTCAGCGCGAGCCAGCACACCACGGCGGGAACTTCATCCCATGCCACGCCAGATGTCCCAGCCAGCTACTCACGATCGTGGCGAGGACAGCAATTTTCGGTGTCGGGAAGGGGGGCCGGAGCGAGGGGGGCGGGCGGAGAATGCCAACGGTATTCGGTGCTGTTAGTTCCTCCCCTAAATGAGCGCTGGGCGCAATACCTTTTGAAGCATTTCACGCTCCGAAAGGTCATCGTAAGCACACAGAACCCACGATTACTTCATGAGCTGAATCCGGAAACTTTGCACCATCACACAGGTGACACCATCCACAGGTTTCAAGTCGCACTAGTCCAGCATAATTCGTAATTTCCATGAGCGCAATCGTTACCCACACACAAACCCATGGCCTCTCAATTACCAACCTCGCAGACCACGTGCCCGGGGTCCCACGTCCGGTCCGCTGGACCTGACCTGCGTTCACTGGGCCCCACGCCCGGTCCGCCGGACCTGACCTGGATGCAGTTTGGCGGGATGACGTCGCAAAAGTTGTAGTGGTAGTCGCACAGGAATTCTGGGAAGTCGTGCAGCAGCACCAGCAGCACGCGCAGGCAGCCCTTGTACAGGATGGTGACGGGCTTGGCCAGCTCAGCGTTCCGCAGGAAAGGCGACAGGAAGTTGAAGAGGTCGATCAGCAGCTGCGCGTACGGCCCCCAGCCCTGCCGATGAGGCGAAGCAGGTGAGCAGGCTGGCAAACTTCATCACACAAGGCCACCTGTGTGCTGGCAGCCCTTCATGCTCTTAAATGCATGTTGCAACAGGGACAAAAGGGTACAATACGTAACTACGAATCTGGACGTCACTGAAAAGGTGAAAAAGAAATGTGACGCTTGATTCCATTTAAGTATTTCACTACGCGTTACGTTGACATAAATGTCGGAACAAAACGCAAGAAAAAAAACAAACGTGCCACAGAAAAATTAGGATCCAATCTTTCCAGCTCTTTGACCATTCAACCGCACATTTTCTTAAGACTCCTTCTACCGTCCATCGAACTGAACCTTGAAAAACTACGACTTCACGAGCAAGGCCAGCCACCAACCGCCACCGTGTCGGCCGGGTACCAGCGCGGGACGCTGCACCGAACCCAACGCCAGCGAGCGAGCGAGCGAGCGAGCGAGCGAGCGAGCGAGCGCGCGCGCGTGCATGCGTGTCGCCCGCGCCGCCGCGCCGCCAGCGCGCGCGCCTCCGGTCACCTTATGCTGCAGAGTGACTGCCCCAGTCACCTTGTGCTGGGGCGTGACTGCCAGCATGCGGCCGATGAACACGCGGTGAGAGACGATGTCGAGCCAGGCGTACGCAAAGCCGGGCGCCTTCTCCGGCCGCAGGATATGCAGCACGTTACAGAAGGCCGTCAGCACCTGCGGCGGCGGCGACGGCAGGCGTCAGCATCGGCAGCTGCACCGGCGGCAGCGGCCGAGGCCTACGGTGTCGCGCGCGCGCGCGCGCACGTGTGTGTGTGTGTGTGTGCGTGTGTGTGTGTGTGTGTGTGTGTGTGTGTGTGTGTGTGTGTGTGTGTGTGTGTGTGTGTGTGTGTGTGTGTGGTGTGTGTGTGTGCGTGCGTGCGTGCGTGCGTGCGTGCGTGCGTGCGTGCGTGCGTGCGTGCGTGCGTGCGTGCGTGCGTGCGTGCGTGCGTGCGTGCGTGCGTGCGTATATGCAGCATGCGTGCTGCATGCGTGCGTGCGTGTGTGTATGCGTGCGTGTATGCGTGCGTGCGTGCGTATGTGTGTTGGTGACGTATGACGGAAGATGGGTATGGTGACCGGTCGGTTTGTCGTGAGGTGATTCTCGCACCGCCTCGTCACACTTGTCAACTGTTGCATAGCGCACGGTGGACACGGGGAGTCAAATGACTTGTTGCGGCTGCAGATATCTGACATGGCCTATTCCAGGCCCCATCCACTTGTCACATTCGTTACGAGCCGTTCCAGGTTGGACATCATCACTATCAGCGCCGTAACTTCTACCACGCATAATGCCGTTGTTTTTTGTCATTTGAATGGTTTTCTCCCTCACTTTAAGTTCTCTGTAAGTAACGACTTAAATTTCATAGTTCACGCAGAACAGTTAAGACAAGTAATCTATACACCATATTGACAACAAATTCGTGCACCACATGTTCAGATTGTCCACAGGACTAAGGTAACGGAGACGGAGACGGAGACGGAGACGGAGACGGAGACGGAGACGGAGACGGAGACGGAGACGGAGACGGAGACGGAGACGGAGACGGAGACGGAGACGGAGACGGAGACGGAGACGGAGACGGAGACGGAGACGGAGACGGAGACGGAGACGGAGACGGAGACGGAGACGGAGACGGAGACGGAGACGGAGACGGAGACGGAGACGGAGACGGAGACGGAGACGGAGACGGAGACGGAGACGGAGACGGAGACGGAGACGGAGACGGAGACGGAGACGGAGACGGAGACGGAGACGGAGACGGAGACGGAGAGAGAGAGAGAGAGAGAGAGAGAGAGAGAGAGAGAGAGAGAGAGAGAGAGAGAGAGAGAGAGAGAGAGAGAGAGAGAGAGAGAGAGAGAGAGAGAGAGAGAGAGAGAGAGAGAGAGAGAGAGAGAGAGAGAGGAGAGGAGAGATAGAGAGAGGAGAGAGAGAGAGAGAGAGAGAGAGAGAGAGAGAGAGAGAGAGAGAGAGAGAGAGAGAGAGAGAGAGAGAGAGAGAGAGAGAGAGATGCTTGACACCTAGCGGCGGCCTCCGACCTGGAAGTTGATAGCCTCCAGGACCGTCTCTGGCGCGTTCAACTCAAGCAGCAGCATGATGAAGATGCGGTGGTAGGGCAGCTGCTGGAATTCCGTTTTGCGCACCTCGTGGTCCTGCAGCAGCACGCCCGTCACGATGCCCAGCACCTGCCGAGGGCGGGGGCGCCGTTAGCTGGCCGCCGGCACCAGCGCCGGCACAGGTGAGCGCAGGGTCACGCTCGAGTGACGCTCGGCCGGGCCGGGCCTCAACAGACTGCGTCAGTCACGGTCTGCTCCGGCTGGTCAGACCAGCGGGGTCGTGGGTCCACCGTCACGGTCAAGCTGCATCCGCAGCTCACGCAGCCGCATGCTCCCGCTCAGAGGACAGGCGCCTGTCACCGACCCAGACCACACCACACCGCACCAAATCATGTCATGCCACACCATACCATAACTACACCACACCACATCATGCCACGCCACACTATACCATAACCACACGCCACGCCACACCACACCGCACACGCACGCACGCACGCACGCACGCACGCACGCACGCACCCACACACCCCACACACCCACCCACACACACACACACACACACATACACTACACATACACATACACATACACACAACACACACCCCACCACAACCACACCACACCACACAATAATTACATCAATCACATCACATCACATCACACCACACCACACCACACCACACCACACCACACCACACCACACCACACACACACCACACCACACACCACACACCCATCGAAATCGTCATCGTCACCATCATCGTCATCGTCATCGTCATCGCCACCGTCCCACGTGCCGACACCTCCTGGGCCGCCCGCTTTCGCCGCCAGCGCACCTTGTTGAGCAGGTTGATCTTTGAGACGGCGTGCGGCGACTCGCCGCTGTGCTTGACCAGCAGCGCGATCAGGCGCACGAACGCGTCCAGCGTGCGGAAGCACTTGGAGCGCACCATGGCCGGCGAGCCCACCGCAGAGTCCGTCAGCGCACGGTAGCTCAGGTCCACACACATCTGGGTCGACAGCCGGAAGAAGCGCGTGATCAGGTCGTCAGTCTTCAAGATGCCCTGCACGTTCATCTGAAACCGAGCGACGACCGCGCGTTAGCGGTGTGGCGGGCCGCGTGGGCCGTTCACGGCGACTGGGCGATGCGGCGCTCCTCAGGCGGCGAGGTCACGGAGCGGCGCGCCACGCCCGCAGCATGCGTCCGCTCACCTGGTGCACGATGATGGTGAACGCCTTGGTGGAGTCGCGGCCGGAGCTGGGCATGTGGTACAGCTGCACCCACTCCCTCAGCAGGTACTCGGTCTTCTGCTGCATGTCGGGCGGGTCGTCGAACTCGCGCGCCTGCGAGATGCCCTTGTGGATGTGGGCGGTGGGGCCGCTCGGGCTGCGGTCGGCCGGGAACGGCGGCTCGCGGCCCGCGCCGCCGGCCCGCACCTGCTCCAGCAACAGCGGGATGTTCTCCGGACAGCTGCCGGCCGGAGGAGACCACGTCAGGCGGCGGCGGCGGCGGCGGCGGCGGCGGCAGCGCTCACAGCTTACAGAGCCCGTCTCCGTCCCGCGCGCCACGTCCCGGAGCGACAGTGAGGCGGGTCCGCCCGGGACCGCGGCCGTCTGCCTCTGTCTGGTCTGGACCGGTGTCCAGCGCGGCCGGACCGGCTGTCCGGAAGGTCCTGTCCGGCCGGGACGCCGCACTCACCCGGGCTGCTGGGCCAGCTTCGCCAGCGCGTCCAGCGTGTTCATGAAGTCGTTCTCCGTGACTGCGTTGCTGCGGTCGTCCACCAGGAACGCCTGCATGGCGGTATGAGGGTTGACAACCGATAAGAAGGGAGAGATGAGGTTCTGTAGTGTGCAGCCACACCTGATCTGCAGCCAGCTCTTGCCACTGCAGCCCACAAGAGAGGCTGCAGTCCACACTAGCAGAGGTGGTAATGAGACTGTATATGAGACATATATGTGTATATATATATATATATATATATATATATATATATATATATACATATGTACATAGAACATATATGAGACAGGCATAGGACAGTAGGAACGGGCAGACGCCAGACAGCTTATACATTACGTGCTAATCGACTAGAACACACGAGACCAGTGACGTCCTCTGACCACGCCCGCACCGCCATCCACACCGACCTCACAGCGTCATCCTCAGCTCGCCAAGCCCGAGCCCGGCCCACCTGAAGCAGCTGAAGACTGAGGCCCATCAGGCTGTAATTGCCGGCCTCCATGGCGTGCGCCAGGTGGGCATCGAGCTGCTGCGTGGAGACGAGCCGGGCGCGGATGAGCGCGTCCACCGCCTCCAGGTTCAGCCGCTGGTCCTCCCGACACTCTATCACCAGGCTGCCGGCGGGGCCGCCGCGGCGTCAGAGACGACCCACGCGGCCAGCGATGGGACGGGCGGGGGCGTCACAACAGTCACGGAGAGCCGGCACCGCCCAGATGGGATCGGTTAGCAGGCGGGGGCGCCGGAGCCGTCACTGAAGGCCCGCCTACCAGGACCCGGTCATTACACCGCGGCCGTCCAAGCACGGCCGGGGACGCATCCCTATTACAAAGCTATCGCCATCACATGGCTGATGTCAATCAGTTCCACTCACCAGTCCTGCACCCGCAACGACCATTCAATCGAACCCAGCGCCGACCCCACCGACGCACCAGCGTCCTTTCCAGCCTCCCAAACATCAACACCTGCCCATGTCGTCGCCGTCAGGCGCCCCGCCCCCGCCACTGCCGCCGCCGGCCACAGCAGCCGCCGCCGTCTCACCTAGTGACGTGCTTCTGAACCCAATGCGGTCCGTGCGCGCGCGGATCCTGCAGTGCTCGCAGCACCATCAGGTGGCCGTCGCGACAGCGCACGGCCAGGTCCGGGTCAGCCGGCAGCTGCGACATGTACTCCAGCAGGCCGTCCACCGCCTGCGGACGGCGAGGTGCACAGTCAGCCGCCGACCTCGGGCGCCCAGAGGCCGCCCCTGCAGCCCCCCCCCCCCCCCCCCATCGGCCTCAGGTGCCGCACAAGCCGCCACTGCAGCCTCTACCCCTGCCCACCGACCCCCGCGTGACCGCAGAGGCCGCCACTGCAGTCCCCAACCGGTCCTGGGTGTGGCCGGTTTGTAGCCGAGCAACGCACACATGTGGGCTCGTATCGCATCAAATAGGGGCGGAATGTACGGGCAAAACGAGACAAATCAGATCGCAGCAGCACCGCAGCTCAGTCCCTCCCGCCTGACCGGGCCACGGACGGCTCCTCATATGACAGGCCGCCGGCGCAGTACGCACCATCTTGACGAGGTGGACGTGGGCGTTGGGGTCACGTGCCGCCGCGCTCAGCGAGACGTCCTTGGCAAGGCGGGCGAGCGCCTGCGCCTGGGGCGCGGCCGCCGCCGCCGGGTGCAGGCTGTGCACGGCCGCCTGCAGCTCCAGCGACAGCTTCTCCAGCAGGGCCGGTAGCTCGTCGCTGGCGGCGGACGGCAGCGGCAGCGGCGGCGGCGGCGGCGGCTGAGAGGCGCGCAGCGGTGGTGGACCCTGCCAGGCGCGCGCAGAGCGACGGTCAGCGAGGCGCGCGCTCGGTCGGCGCGGGCGTGTCCGGGGTCGCGCCTGGCGTCCCGTGGCGACCAATGGGCCAAAGTAGGCTTCCTCGCTACTCTTCTCAAACGTCATCAGCTCAGTTATCGCTAGTTTCGTCCATGCAACAACAGTAGCTCACACGAGGGTGGACTGCAGTAAATCCGTAATGCGTCAATTGCCCAATTTACTATACCACAGCGCATATAGACACCGAGCGTCCTCCTTGCAGGTGGGGGACACAGGCCGCCCATCCTGAGTCAGCCGCTCACCAGTGCCACACCGCTGGAGGCGGGCGGCGCCACCTCCGGCGTGGCGGCGAAGCCGGGCACGGAGCGCGCGAACTCCTCGAACACGGCCGCCTGGCGGGCGGTGAGCGCCGCCAGGCGCAGCGGCTCGGGCATGTGCGACTCGTGGTAAACGGCCATATGCGGGTCGACGTAGCGACGTCCCTCCTCGCGCGCCCTCTTGCGCAGGTCGTACTCCTGCGGCGCGCACAGACGACGGTCAGTGAGCTCGGCGCCGGCCGGACGGCCCGTTCGCTAGCATAGGGCAGGACCATTGCCGGCCCTGAAGCGCTGGTTTGGTTACAATTGCTTCGACAGATCGCTGCACTAACGCCAAAACTGGAGGCGGGTCCAGCCTAGATCAAAGGCGGCCGTGCCACGATCTTTACCACGAGATGTATGCCGCATACACATACACCCGCCCATACATACGCCGCATACACATACACACCCGCCCATACATACGCCGCATACGCATACACCCGACCATACATACGCCGCATACGCATACACCCGCGCAGCTTAAACGCAGGCGGGAGAACCAGCACAAAGTGGGCCCTCGGTAAGCATGCGTAGAGGGTCTCACGACAATGGAGAGCTGTTGCCGGAACGACACGGTGCGCGGACAGCCGTGTCCGTCGCCGTCGCCGGGCGCGTTACTGACCGCCATGAGCCGCTTGTCCACCTCCAGGATGGCCTTCTCGACGGCCGTCTTCTGGATGAAGCAGCAGGCCAGCTCCACGTTGTCGGCCGCCACCCGGCCGGCCGTCTGCTCCATGAACTCCTGCTGCTGCGGCGTGGTGGCCGTCTGACGGCGAACGGCCATGCCCGTCATTCACCGGCCGCAGTCGGACTGGCCGTCGCCGGGGCACGGCCGCTGTGGCGACCGCGCCCCGGCGCAACCACCGTACCTCGGCCGCAGCCCTGTGCCGGCGTCACCCACCTGCAGCTGGCGCGATGACAGCGGCAGGCTCGCGGCCGGCAAACTCCTGCCGTGGACGCGGTACGCCAGCATCGCACTCGTCACAACGTCGCCGGCCCCAAACACGATCAGCATTCACTCCGACCACGCCTCCCTCGGGCTCCAACGGGCGGCTGGGAGGGAGGTCCGACCACGCCTTCGCCAGGCTCCAGCGGGCGGCTGGGAGGGAGGTCCGACCACGCCTCCCCCGGGCTCCAGCGGGCGGCTGGGAGGGAGGCCACCACGGCCTCCCCCGGGCTCCAGCGAGGCGGCCTGGGAGGGAGGTCCGACCAGCCTCCCCCGAGGCTCCAAGCGGGCGGCCAGGGAGGGAGGGTCCGACCACGCTTAACCCGAACCCCCGGGCCCAACGGGCCGGCTGGGAGGGAGGGTCCCGACCACGCCTCCCCGGGCCCAGCGGGGCGGCTGGGAGGGGGAAGGTCCGAAACACGCCTCCCCCGGGCTCCAGCGGGCGGCTGGGGAGGGAGGGGTCCGACCACGCCTCCCCCGGGCTCCGGCGGGCGGGCTGGGAGGGAGGTTCCGACCACGCCTCCCCCGGGCTCCGGCGGGCGGCTGGGAGGGAGGTCCGACCACGCCTCCCCCGGGCTCCGGCGGGCGGCTGGGAGGGAGGTCCGACCACGCTACCCCCCGGGCTCCAGCGGGCGGCTGGGAGGGAGGTCCGACCACGCTACCCCCCGGGCTCCAGCGGGCGGCTGGGAGGGAGGCCCGACCACGCCTCCCCCGGGCTCCAGCGGGCGGCTGGGAGGGAGGTCCGACCACGCCTCCCCCGGGCTCCAGCGGGCGGCTGGAGGGGAGGTCCGTACCACTGCCTCCCCAGCTCAACGGCGGTTTGGGAGGAGGTCCGACCACGCCTCCCCCAGGCTCCCAACGGGGCGGGCTAAGAGAGAGGGTCCGACCACGCCTCCCCCAGGCTCCAACGGCGGCTAAGAGAGAGGGTCCGACCACGACTGACGGCCGGGCCCATAATACGGCAACAGGAAAGAAAATCGCGGGCTGGCGACGCAATGACCTAAATGGGATCTTTTGTAGTGAAAATACGGACGCCCATTCATTTCACGATCATACTGGGGGAGCCAACCCAACTCGATAGCACAGCGACAGCATGCTACCCACAAACGAACCGCCTGGCTCGACCGGCGGGTGGACCGCGGGCCGGCGGACACTGCATCGCCTGCACGAGCTCGGCGCCACCGCCGGACGTTGCACGGGGCGGCCACTCACCCGGACCGTGCCGAGGCAGGGGCGGCCTTGAACGTTGGTGGCTATGGAGACGGCGAGGTGGTCGCGGCAGTTGATGAGGGTCAGTCCGGCCGTCAGACTGAGCACCATCTGGTGAGGCGGCCGCGCGCATCTTCAGCTCGTCCGGGTCCAGCGCCAAGTCCTTCTTCACCACCTGCTCCACCGTGTTCAGCCGCCAGCTGGTGGAGAGGGGAGAGGGCGTCGGGGGCTGCACACGGCCGGCGGGGGACCGGCACGCCGTCGACACGGCCGGCGGGGGGTAAGCACCGGGCCCAGCTCCTGAGGACGACGTGCGACGCAAAGAAGCCGACGGAGCCCGCCGCCGCGTCGTTGGTGACGGCTAGATACCTCACGTTGCAGCAGTTCTCTCAGCAAGCAGCAGCCGGCTCACACCAGTCCTAGTCAGTACACACAGACACGCAGCAGCACACACTGAGACTAGCAGCAGGAGCGCGGCAGTTCCCGACAGTCCTGACCACTCCAGCCGGCGTTTGCAACAGGAGGGCCCCCCACGCCCGGTGCCGCCGGCTCACCTTGCAGTTACGTTCGACGGCGCGCGGGGCAGCCAGTCCTGGACGGTGCGCTCCACGGCCGGCCTCACGATCTGCTTCAGCTGCGGATTCCGACTGGAACAGCGGCAGCTGCCCGGACGGGAGCCGCGGTCAGGGCTGAGCGAGGCGCCAGCTCTCCTCGCCAGAGGAACGAACACCACCCTTAGAACAGCGCACTGTTACCAGTGACGAGAAGCTCCCACCTACAGCTTATTACGTACACCTCTACAAAATGATCGTTTTCTCCAGCAGAGCCCACGCATGACAAATAAACGGGAAGAACATCAACTCCTCCGTATAACTGCGGCACCACTGCGGCGGCAGGCGGTGCTGTCGTCCGCACCGTGACGTTGATGGTGATGTGTGGAGCGAGGCCTGCGATGCTGCTGGTGTTGATGTCCCCGAACGAGAAGCGGGGCGCCGTCGCCGGCAGCACCACCTCGGTCCACCGCCGCCGCCGCCGCCTCCTCGGCCTCGCCGGCCGGCGGCGCCAGCGGGCGGACGTGGCCGGCGGCGGCGGAGGCGGCGGCGGAGGTGGCGGAGGAGGCGGCGGCGGGGCGGCGGTGGCGGAGGCGGCGGCGGCGGCAGGGCTGGCGGCGCCGTCAGGCTGGGCCGCTTCAGCTGCACGGGCAGCCGCTGCTGTCGCAGCGGGTCGTTGAGGCACTGGCTGGGCGTCAGCTCCTGCCGCCGAGGACGGTCGGTGAGCGCGGCGCCGGTGCTACAGCGGCTCCGGCCGGCTCACCGCTGCCGGTTGTGAGCGGCAGCGAACGAGCGACGAGGGAAGCTGCTCCCATACACAATGGCACGCGTGTCGCATCTCGGATCATAACGTCAGATACACAACAAAGATCAAATGCACGGGAATAGGTCTGGCTGCAATTAGGCTGTAACAACACAAAGCTCCAGACCGAAATCATCAACGTCATTTTCAGTGGACACACTTCTGCGAAATCCACGTCACACAGATACCCAAGGCGTTACACAGGACTGCAAGATGGATACCCAAGACATTACGAGGGACTGCAAGATGGATGCCCAAGGCATTATACAGGACTGCAAGATGGATGTCCAAGACATTACGCAGGACTGCCAGATGACACCCAGGGCATTACGCAGGACTGCAAAATGGATACCGATGGCAAGACGCCCTCTGCAGTCAGCGCACATCACAAAGCCCATAATCAATGGATGATTAGTCATAACCAGCGCAGGCTACTCACGTTCACGTCCAGCGAAAGTGTCTTGCAGAGCACCTCAATCTCGAACTTGAGGTTGAGCTTGAGGTCCTGCTCCTGGTGCAGCTCTGCCAGCAGGTTCATCAGACCCAGTGTCCAAGGATTCGGCGGCTTGAAGATCTGCCGGCGGTGAGCAGCAGCGTAACCAGCCGCCCTCTTTGCCGGCCTGAGAACCGGCCAGGCTGGAGCCGGCGGTCTGAGCACCGGTCAGGCTGCAGCCGACGGCCTGAGCTTGGGCCGACGGCCTGAGCACCGGCCAAGCTGCAGGCGACGGCCTGAGCGCCGGCCAGACTGCAGCCGACGGCCTGAGCACCGGCCAAGCTGCAGCCGACGTCCTGAGCTTGGGCCGACGGCCTGAGCGCCGGCCAGACTGCAGCCGACGGCCTGAGCTTGGGCCGACGGCCTGAGCACCGGTCAAGCTGCAGCCGACGGCCTGAGCACTGGCCAAGCTGCAGCCGACGGCCTGAGCACCGGCCAAGCTGCAGCCGACGGCCTGAGCATCGGCCAGGCTGAAGCCGACGGTCTGAGCACCGGCCAGACTGCAGCCGACGGCCTGAGCACCGGCCAGACTGCAGCCGACGGCCTGAGCACCGGCCAAGCTGCAGCCGACAGCCTGAGCACCGGCCAGGCCGCAGCCGACGGCGCCAAACGGAACCAGTCTGACCGCGAAGGCCGACCAGACAGACCCGCCACGGCGGGCAAGGACCAGACCCCAGCAGTGGGGTCAGCCAGACCCGACAACAAAAACCGGACGGAAGCCGAGGCCTCAGCCGTCCACCCCGCTGTAGCCCATGCGTCGCCCGGGCCTGTCGCACACTGCCGCGCGGGCCCTCGGTCGCCGGTGTCGCGGCGGACGGCCCGGCGACACCACCAGTGCAGGGCTGTGGCCACCTCGCCAGCATCGAGAACTAATTCCACCGAGCGAAACCACGAGTCCACGCACTTCAAATTCGCCTCGGGTGGACAAACAGGCCGCGAATCACGCAATTTTAATTGGACTTTTAATCGGCTGTAATCGGCGCACCATTAATGAAAAAGACAACATAACAGTGAAGCCAAATAACAGTGAAACCAAGTATTTCCGGCAAAACCAATGCGTTTAGGTTGCGTGACGCTCACGCTGCACGAACCAAAAGTGCGTACCTTTCACTGTAACAGCGGCCCCAAACGCCCGCGTATGTCGGTGGCCTACGGCAGCATCACCTCACCTTGGACTTCGCGGACGACTCGAGAACCTTGGCAACGAACGGCACCACGTACAGAAGCTCCTGACACCCAGGTGGTAGCCTCGATGACCAGCGACTTCATGTCCAAGTCCGTCTGCAACGGCCAGTCGGCGCCCATCCAGCAATGTCCCAGGCATCACTGGCGGAAGGGCTATGCAGCCGCAAGACATGCAAATCACCCAAATCAACAGTCACGTAGATTTCGAAGCGCGGGCAAAGTGTAAGCAGCGAATAGTTTGGCGAACACGAACCAACAGCCTGCTGGCTGGTAACAGCCGGCAGCGGCGTGATCACGGCAGGTGAACGCCGCTGACGTAAAAAACCGCAACAACACCCCGTTCGTGGCGCGACCGATGGCGACGAGCGATGTGACCGAGTATGACCCCACAGCGCCGTGGATCATGCCACAACCCGCCTGTCCCCGTCTCTCCCCGCTCACGCCTCTTGGGCAACGCGCCCGTAACGAGGCTCCACGCTCGTGCGCACAACATCTGTCTGGCGCCCCCCCGGGGCGTGCGCGCCAGGTCCACAAGCAGCCGAGCCGCCCGGGGCCCGGCTGGGTGTGTCGACAACGCTTGGCCACATCGGGCGATCCCAGACCTGAAGGATCGGCTTGTTCTTGGCGATGGACATCAAAGCCCAGCCAGGCCACAGGTTTCTTCAAGATCGTCCGGTCGTTGAACTTCTCCACGCCCTTGTCTGCTCGCAGCAGAACCTGCCAGCGAAACACCAAGTTACTAATAAAACACGTTTCCTAGACACGCGCCACTTCCTAGCCGCGAAATGCTATCGTGAAAAGAACACACACGGCGTGCTAGCAAAAACGCATGCAAGACATGTTGACGAGCAGTGTTTCACAATGGCCTCAGGCAGCTGACACCCAAAAGACACGCGACAGGCTCGGGTGGCGACAGACGGGGACCCCCGGCAACAAGGCTCATTTGCTTCCTGACACGGCCACACGTGGCACAGCACAACGGAGCACAAGCGGTGCAGTGGCACAAACGCCGTAACGTCACGAACCACGTGGACAACACACAACACAAGACCATATGACATCTGACCCCCACCGGTGTCACCCCGCAGGGTGCGATGACACTCCCGGCGTGTCGACACCCGCTTCGAGCTTGAATACATCGCTGATTTACAATTCAGAATGCGTGGATTTTTGCACAGCCGCTGCATCATCTTTGCTGACACTCCTGCCGCCATGTTTCGTCACTGTAGCTCGCGCCATTTGTGCAGTTAGGTCAAAGTCCGACTAGTCAAAGAAGAAGACCTTTCTTCGGCGCGGGACGACGTCATCACGCCACATAGGACATGACACGTCGCGTCGTATCGCGGTCCGGTTCGCTAAGTTACAGCACAGCATGGCACGGCACGGCACGGCACGGCACGGCACGGCACGGCACGGCACGGCACGGCACGGCACGGCACGGCACGGCATGGCAGTGCGACCCCGCCCCAGCGCGGCCCGAAAGCGGCGCCATCCACTGACCTGGATATTGTTGTACAGCTCGCGCAAGCAGAGCTGCAACAGCTGCGGCAGCTCCAGCGCGTCCATGAAGTTGGCGTAGAGCGTGTGGAAGTTGGGCTCGATGCTGACGCGGCGCATCATCACCACGTACTGCGCGAACCAGGGCCAGTAGTCCCGCTCCATCACGGCCAGCAGGTCCTCACACTGCGGCACAGGCGGTCACCGGCAGTTAGTCGGTCGGTCGGTCGGTCGGTCGGTCGGTCGGCCGTCAGTCAGTCCGTCAGCCAGCCAGCCGGCCAGCCAGCCAGCCCAGCCAGCCAGCCAGCCAGCCAGCCAGCCAGCCACAGACCAGCCCGCGTGCGGAGCCGGACAGGTGACAGCGGCAGAGATAACAGCATGCCAGCTCCTGGGCGCGCAGTCAGCACAGTGTCCTGGTCAGGGTTATCGCACGGTCGCTTCCCAAGCCGACGCGCAGAGCAGGCGAACCGACGAAGCCAGATATAGCAGACGGCCGAGTGTAGTGAGGTCACGGGTCAGCTTCGACCACGCGCGCATCCAAGCGCTTCCCGGAGCCGACGGTCGTTACTGACATTTTTTTTACATGCGGGCTGGGATATCTCATCAAAAACCATCACTTGTGTTTCCTGAGATGCCAGACTAATGAGGCAATCCACCAGCTGATAAGCCAATCAACAATTGATACACCAATGCTCGGATAAATAGCTCAGACGAAAGGCGTGTACGCTCAGTATTTTGTTATTTTCTCTCAGGTGACGTGTCAAAGCCTCCTCGTCCTCGCTATTAGGGCTCTACGGTGCCCTCAGTACTGACGCTACATGGCGCTGCCTGTCGCTCACCTTGGCAGGAATGGCAGGCACCGCCGGCAATCACACCTTATATCTCTGGCTTCCCAGACGCGTCAACCACTACACTATCGGTGGTACGCTGTCAGAGCCTTGTCAGAAAGCAACCACTCAGGCCTGCCACGAGGTGCTCTCGCGCCGCCTCACCTTCTGGCTGAGGTTGAGCTGGCTGAGGTTGTTAAAGATGAAGCCGACCTTGTCCTGCACGACCTCGGAGGGCGGCGGCGCCTCCTGCAGCGCCTTCACCAGCGTCTCGATATTCGTCGTGTTGGCTATGGACGGCCGGCCGGAGACGAGCGCGGCAGTGAGCACCGTGGGCCGGGCGCCGGCCGAGGAGGCGGCGCTGCCGGCCGGCGCCGCCGGCGTCGCCAGCAGCGACTGCAGGTGAGCCGGCAACACAGAGCCCTCGGGCCGACCGGCCGGCTCCTGGGAGCGCATCCCGCACTCCACGTACTGAAACGGCGCCGAGCACGAGCGATGACGCGGCAGACGGGTGGCCAGCTCTCGGGGCAGGGGCACGAACGGAGGGACGCACGAGGGACGCCGTGGGGGGCGATCACCGGACGCGGGTCACACACATGCCTTCATGCTTACAGCAATGACCGTAACTGATAGATCTCCGACTGTCATGTTCAACTGCTGCCACCGAGAGCGTGATAAATTAGCATGCGGATGCCTCCGACAGAACGGTTGAAACAATAAGGCCACGTTCGAAATGCCGGCCCCGAGCCACGACCGCCGTGTGGACACTGGCGCTCACCTCCATCAAGTGTCTGGGGAACTGGCTGAAGTGCTGGATGGTGGCCAGATGCTGGCAGTACTGCGGGTACTCGCGCAGGCGGGGCCGGAACCGGTCCAGCGCCAGCACGCCGAAGTAGTACATCTTGGAGCCCGGCTGGTTCTTGACGGCGTCCAGCACGTAGCGCAGTGCCAGCCCAAGGCCGTTGTAGCTGCCGGCCGGACAGGACGGCGTGAGGGTGGAGGTCTGATGATGGGGAGAGGTGAGGGAAGGCATGCGCTAGAAAGAATAGGATCCATGGAGACACAGGGCCAGAATGCCGGGGAGACGAGGTTTCAATAGGCACGGGCTCAGGGAGACAAATTCAGGGACGCAGAGGGGTGGTGGACACTAGGGAGACACGAGGTAGAGCTGGAACCACAAAAGATCAGGAAGACA